GCAAAGTAAAACAGTATTTATTCCTAACAGGCACAGCCAGCTTAGAAAGTAATTTGGGTAACACCGACAGATGGAACAACAATATTTTGCTGCTATGCAGCAGCCCCGGCGGCCAGCTGGGGAGAGGGGTGTTTCTTCTGCCATACAGTGATCACACCACTGTGCTCAGTGAGGCGTGTTTCACAAGCAAACCTGGCACGAAGCTTCCTGATGTTATTGAGGGAAACAAAAAAACACAGCGACGTGCCTCCCGGGATGGCGCATTCAGCACAGCAGCAAAGAGAGAGGGTATGAAGTTGAGGTTGTAAAGGTTTGATATAAACAGCGGTAGCGCTCATGGGCTGGAGAGAGGGGCAGAGAGGGAGTGTTCATTTCATCACCATTGTCTTTCATGTGGCTTTTTTAAAAACAAGCACTAAAGTTATTAAACGCCTGTTAGGATGCAGACACCCCACTTCTTGTATGATTGGCCATTATGTAATAATAAAAATTTGCTTATGTTAATTGCTTATCCATGTAGAAACAAACTGAGGCCTTAACACAGCAGCAGCACAGGAATTAAGAGGTAACATACTGAAGACAAAATGTTTTAAACTCCAGGGAAACCAAATACCACCTAGTTGTCTGTCTGGGCTGTCACACACCACAGTAGTTCCAGAACAAGGCTGTCTTAAAGCAAACTGCTCCCTTTGCTTCTTCCCTAGTCTGGGCATAAACCTTGAACCAAGCTTGACCAGCCTTTTGATGAGTGCTGCTGTCAGTGGCATTGGGGGGAGAGGCGTTGATCACACAGCATGAGAGTGTGGTTAAAGAAAGAGGGAGAGGGAAAAGTTTCAACCTGGAACTAAATGTTGAGTGGCTGGCCTGGGTTTATTTGAACTGTGCACACGCATGCACGCGCGCATACACACACACACACACACACACACACACACACACACTATTTATAGCTAACTTATGGTGTTTTGCACTTGGCAAATCAGGCAAAGAAATTGCCCCATGGGTGCTCCTTCGCAATGTGCTAGATCACTAGCAGAAATAGCCCAGTCCAAAGCCAGTGCTTTGCTATAGCAGTGCAAATCAGTATTCATATTAAGGTGGCTACCAAGCGGGCCTAAATTTTAAGAGTGGTGTGTGTGTGGTGCGTGTTCACACATACACAGCTTTAGGGAGAGTGGCTCCTTTTTGAACAATGCTAACTTGCACTATTACAAGCAGCCATCACCCCAAAATCCCTTATCACTCTCTCACAGGCTACGTCTAGACTGCAAGCCTCTTTCAAAAGATTCTTTCGAAAAAGCCTCTTTCGAAAAAGAGTGTCTAGACTGCAAGCAGTATTTTCGAAAAAACAAGCTGCTTTTTTGAAAGAGAGCACCCAGGCAGTCTGGATGCTGTCTTTTGAAAAAGCCCTGTTTGCATTCAAGAACGCCTTTTTTGGAAAGAGCACTTTCGAAAAAAGGCGTTCTTCCTCGTGAAATGAAGAGTACCGCCGTCAAAAGAAAAGCCGCGTTCTTTCGATTTAATTTTGAAAGAACGCAGCGGTAGTCTAGACACAGGTGAAGTTTTTTCGAAAAAAGGCTACTTTTTTCGAAAAAACCCTGAAGTCTAGACACAGCCACAATGTGTCAGGAAACAGCCATGGCTAATACATCAGCAAGGACAGTTTCAGGAATCTAGCCTCGTTAAAGGTTCCTGACATTTATGGTGTGTTGAAAACGATGCTAAAATTACAACCTATCACTTTCAGGGGGTTCCTAGTTCTGCCTACAGGCTCAGGGGCTCTCTAGGAAAGCCTGCAAGCTAGATTTCCAAAGTCAGCCTACAAACAAGGAGCCTGGACTAAGGTGTCTTGACTTGTACCTTGTTGCCAGAGAAAGCAGCCTGCTTTATCTCTTTGGGTGCGTCTACACTGCAGGGCTAAACTCGAAATAAGTTACGCAAATTGAGCTACGTCAATTTTGTAGCATATTTCGAAATAGGGAGCGTCTACACAGCAGTTATTTCTAAATAGAGCACTCCTCCAACTTCCCTTACTCCTCCTACAGTAAGGGTTACAGGAGTCGGAGTAAGAAGCTTGACAGTATTTTAACACTGTTTCAAAATAACTGCCTGCTGTGTAGACACAGACTAAGTTATTTTGGAATAGTGTTGCAGTGTAGACATACCCTTTCTGATTTGGGTTGTAGTGTGGTAGAATTATGGTGTCTAAGAAACAATTTGGTTACATTGCAACATTCCAGGAATCATATTTTATGTTTTTATCTACCTTCTCTAGGTGTATGCCATGAACACAGCATACATTCTAGAAACCACGCTACTAGTATAGGTCTGGTCCAATCATACCTCCTGTCTCACTAGTCAGGACAGCTTAGAGGCAGAGGGACAGGAAAGGGAATGAGTACTTGCAAGGGACAGGGTGAGATTTTTTTTTTTTACTGGTAATAGAGGGTTTTATGTTTTGTTGCTTTTTTCTAGGCCACTCTCATTGCACACACTACAACTCCTTGCATTCCTTCTACCATCCCATGCACTCCACCCACACCCTAAGCTCCCAGTGCACCATTTTCCCATCTCCTACTAGTATAGGCACATCCTGCAACTCTCCCATATCATGCCAGAGGTGCTGTGTACCCACGTGCCTATAACATCCCCCTGCCAGAGACTCTGACTCCCATACTCCCATTTTTACTTCCTTTCTTCCTGTGTTGATAAATTATCCAAAGTGTCAACATTTTATACATCAGCTGGATGATGGGCAGAGCTGAGGTAGGGGCTATCATTCTGGAAGGTGGGCTTGAGTGTCTGAGTGCTAGCAGTCTTGTTTGGTTGGATGGTTTTGTGTTGATTACTGAGCTAGTTGAATTTGATAGGGCTGTGAACCAGGTACTGAGACTCTATGTGCCCACCATTTCCACCTTCTGATTTTTCAGTAAATTCAAAAGGATTCTGCCTACTGATGACTGGAACATTTCTTGGAATTTTTGAATTGGTCAGTATGATGCTCTGTGATTGAAATATAACCATTTATAGCATTAATAGTGCCACTGTTAGACAATTACAACAGAAAAAGTACAAAATATATCCTATAAAATGTCAATGGAAAAGTTATGATTTGCTAAAGATGATTAGCCTTGTACCATCAATGTACCTAAAATTACGAATTTCACCTATAGATCTGTATCCCAAATGTGTTTGTGCCTAGAGTAACACCCACCATGTAAAATCTACCTTGACATCGGTCAGCTTTGTGTTGATGTCCCACTAAAGACAATTAACTCTCCCAGTGGGCCACATAAGAAACTCGTCCCACCCAGCATGTCTTCCTGTGGATTCCTTAGCCCCCAAATGGCAAATGACTACCAGAAGTGATGTAAGTGTATGTGGCATGCTAATATGAAATGTGCATGTGACCCTGGATTCCATCTTGTGTACTTTCTCATGAATTGTGCTGTGCTTTTGGGGGGACAATGAAATTCCACTCACATGATAGAGGATATAAAAGACTCTAGAATCATCACCATGTTTCCTCTTTCCTGCTCTGATTCTATGGACTAAGAACACGAAGGAAGATTCCAATCTAGGAACAGAGGACCTTGCAATCTTCTGGAAGTTCCCAGCAACTTTACAAACCATCAATCTATGGCACTACTGCTACAGGAACTTTGCAATGATTGTATGTATATAATCTATTAACCATTTTTAACTCTCTTCTTTTTCTTATAAATAAACCTTGAGATTTTAGGTTACTAAAGAATTGGTAAGATCTGAGTTAGATATTGACCTGGCTATGTGGCTAATCTCTTGAGATCAGGAGAAACCTTTATTTGGAGACATTGGTTTTTAGTAATCACTCATCATGCAGCCTAGTGGTGGAGATAGGGGAGGGGTGAAATAAGGGCTGGACTACCTAAAAAGACTGCATTTTTGACGACTTATTAACTAGTATAGTAAGACAGAAGTTTACTTTTGTTACTGGCTTGGTATATCTATGAAAAGAGTAACAACTTCTAAATATGATTTAAGAGACCATATTTGTTCCAACATGAAGAAAAATTGATTTTATCACCACAATATATTAAAGATGCAAACTTTTATGATCCACAGTTGTGCACATCAGAGACATAAAACATTAATGAAACAGTACCAACACAAAGATTGAAGCTGAAAGAACTTTCATGCAGTGACTATTAAAATAAGCAGAAACTAATATAGGCTAAATGTAATCCAGCTGAGAAGCTGAAGAGGCAGACCTGAACTATTTATGAGCATCAACCAGCAAATCGCTGTTTCTGTGGTTTCTCAAGATGCACTGTGAGTCTGACCTAGCACCAGAAGTAGCCTCCTGCAGGAAAGAGGAAGTCCCCTACCTCCCCACCCACACCAGTACTAGCAGCTGGAGCTCAGTGCATAGTAGAAGCCCTCTAGTGCTAAAATAGCCTAATTTCATGGTCTATAATATGTTGGCAGTAAAAATCCTCAATAAAATTCTGCTTAAATGCAGTGCTAGCATGATTGCACCTGAGATAGTGTATTCACCAGAAAGCTAAGTGTCAACCTAGACTCCTAGGCTATGTCTAGACTGGCAGGATTTTCCGGAAATGCTTTTAACAGAAAAGTTTTCCGTTAAAAGCATTTTCGGAAAACAGCATCTAGATTGGCATGGGCGCTTTTCCGCAAATCACTTTTTGCGGAAAAGCGTCCTTGGCCAATCTAGATGCGCTTTTCCGCAAAAAAGCCCCGAACGCCATTTTCGCGGTTGGGGCTTTTTTGCGCAAAACAAATCTCAGCTGTCTACACAGGCCATTTTGCACAAAAGTTTTGCACAAAAGGGACTTTTGCCCGAACGGGAGCAGCATAGTATTTCCACAAAAATCACTGATTTCTTACAGTAGGAAGTCAGTGCTTTTGCGGAAATTCAAGCGGCCAGTGTAAACAGCTGGCAAGTTTTTCCGGAAAAGCAGCTGATTTTCCGGAAAAACTGGCCAGTCTAGACACAGCCTTAGAGCAATTTTAGAAGGGGGGAGCAAATAGAATGACTAGGAGCCTGAAAGGGTTGTCTTGAGGAAAATTACAAGTAAATTTTGTCTGTCTTAGCTTAGTAATGATGAGCCATGGTAACAGATATCTAAAAGCTGTAAATTTCAAGAAGAGAGAGGAAATCTTTAGGCTGGCATGAGGGGCTTATCACCAGGAGTAATAAGATAAAGGAAGGAAATCTTAGGCTGAATTTCAGGACATGCCTCCTAGCAGGAACCAGGATCTTCCTCCTCTGTAGAAATACTTGCAAATGGAGATCTGTGTAGAAAATCAGAGCAGAAAAATCTGCTCCTCCCTCACAACATTTTCTGCAATAGGGGGTGCCCCCATGCATTAAATGCCACAGTTCTGCCTCCAAAGCCTGATGAAATACCAGGGGATGGAGAGCAGGCCCTCAGTATGAAGGCAGATGGCTTTGTGGGTGGGTCGCTATATATTTTTTCAGCTTTAATGAAGCCATGCTGCCAGGACTGCCAACCTCTTTGGGCTTCCCTTCATGCAAGGATTTTCCCAGAATGGACAGGGCTAGGAAACCGTTAATGCACTCCAGTTAACATAACAGTTGCAAAGTGGAGAAACTATAATAGAGTTTCATTCAAGGTAAATTAAGCACCGTTTGCTTGCATTATAAAGACGTCCAATGACCACAGCATAGTACAGCAAACAGGAGTCATTTCAACATCTGTGGCATTCAAATAACTGGGTATTTTACATCATGTGATATGTTATATAGCAAAGACAGACTTTCTTTTAAACCAGGTTCTTTCACATGTGCAAAGTGCATTGATGGGTAGTGTGGATTTACTACATGTATTCAGCAGACTACTAGCGTACCAAGGTAGAGGGTGTGGACATATACAGATCAGTCTCCTCATTCTGGCAGACTCCATACTTTACACATAATTTCCTTAACAATAAGAGCATGGAAAAAGATAAACAAAAATTAAATGGTCAAGAAAAAATCTTTACATACCACATTAAAGATAATCTGAGCATGACTTGTAAGAAACATGTCATAAGTACAAAAGACCCAAATGACAATCCAAAGTCTCCTCCTAAAAACAAGATAAAAGGTAACAATTTCCTATTTACAAGAAAATATTGCTTTAATTAAAAACTCTAAAAACCATTCTCTTGGAGTCCATATAAAAATAAGAGTGTGTGTGTTTTCACATATATAATATGCTTATATATATTTATGGCTTTACAGGCTGCAATATTCTAGATTAAATGAGGGAATATAAATGAACTATTAATTCTTTTTCTCAACTTCCTCGGGTTTTATAGACTCTTCCCCTCCATCAGATAAGAAGCCACTTCCATATTTCTTCACTTTGTTTTCCACTTTGGTGAGTCTCTGTTTTACTTTGAGTTGGGCTGAGTTGTATTCTGCCATTAGCCTAGCAAACCTAGTCTGTAGACTGTCCAGTGCACTTTCAAGTCTTTCCACTTTTTCTTCCAAGTCTTTAGGGTCAGCTCCTGCTTTTGCTGCCTCCTCATCTATTAAATTGTCTTTCAACAGAATTTGCCGCCCTTTCTCTTCCAACGCCTTTTTGGCATCAGGATATTCAGTGAGGGCTTCCATCAAATCGTCTTTGGATAAACAGAACAGATCAGAATAACCAATGCTTCTGATGTTGGCTGTCCTCCTGTTACCAGATTTGCTACCCTTGATGTTTAAAATACTGATTTCACCAAAGTAGCTGCCATCGCTTAGGACAACAAACTGTGTTATGCCATCATCTGCCACCACAGCCAACTTCCCCTCCTTAATGATATACATTTCCCTCCCAATATCCCCCTTTTTGCAGATGTAATCTCCAGGACTAAAGACTGTAGGTCTCAGCTTCAGCACTAGCTCAATAAGAAGTCCAGCTTCACAATCCTGGAAGATGCGCACTTTCTTTAGCGTATCCAGATGGACGTTGATAGCAATTTCAGCCTTAAGTTTATCAGGCAGGTTTTTAAGAACTTCCTTCTCATCTACTGTTTTCTTATTGGTCCAGAGGTAATCAAACCACTTAATGACCCTGGCCTCCAAATCCTTTGTCACCTTTCGGAAATGCATATACTGTTTTATGGAATCAACTTTGGCCTGGAACTCTGCCCTGGAAGCATTCATGTTGGAAATCATAGAGCCTACATTACCAACAATGGTAGCAAAGATCAGCACACCCACCAAGAAGTCAATGACCACAAAGAGATACTCTTCATCTTTCACCGGAGGTGGGGTTTCTCCAATTGTCGTCAGTGTCAGTGTTGACCAATACAAACAGTAAATATACTTTCTGGACAGACGTCCATATTCTGGGTGGGTCACATTGGGATAAACCCAGGAGTCAGTCCCAAACCCAATAAGCTTTGAAATTGCATAATATATGCATGCATTCCAGTGGATGATTATGAGAATGTACAAGACAAGATTTCCAATCCGAAACATATTTGGATAGTTTGTCCTGGTTTCTGTGCGATCAAAAAACTCAAATAGCCTGGCAAACCTCAGCAAGCGATTAAAACGTAGTTCAGGGTAGTTCAGCCCAAGTTTTAAATATGCCAGGTCTGTTGGTAAAAGAGAGAGCACATCCAATCTGAACTGTACAGTAGTAGTGTAATGTTTTCTTAATTTCTTTTCATCTTGAACTAGTAAGCCTTGTTCAAGAAAGCCTTAAAAGAATTTTAAAAAAAGTTCTCTGTTAGAATACATAACAAAATGGGCTACAAACCTATAATTAGTCAGAAACATTTCATAACTTATGCCTGAAGGATTCTTGTTTGCTTGCAAATACTGAAGACGTTATTGGATTTGAAACTTATCATACATTAATGTACTCTCCATAGGTTTCTAGTATGTTTAATAAAAAAGATATTGCATAAGTTTCATATTTACCACAGGCTGAACCTCAGTTGTCCAGGACTCTCTGGTCTGGCAACATCCATGGTCCGCAAGGACCACGGATATTGCTGGACTAGAGTCCCAGCCACAGAGGTTGTCAGAGGCTGAGAGCTCAGCCAGTCTGGCAGCAGGCACCCTGCAGAGGCAGTGGCCTGGGGGCAGGAAGCCAGCCAGGATGTGAGCCCTACCATCCCTGAAGCCGCTGCCAACCGGAGCCACAGAGCCACGACTGGCCAGGGCTGTGGAGCTGGGGATAGGGGATAGGGAGCCCTAGCAGCCACAGGCATGGAGCTGCTGCTGTCCAAAAGCAGAGGACCCCTGTGGCTGGCAGCAAAGCTCCACCATCCGGGGGCAGGGAGCCTCTGTGACCATGGGTGCAGCGAGCCCTGGTGGCTGTGGGTAGAGAGTCCCGCCAGTCTGAGCTGGGCTGCAGCCCTGCGTGGAGCTCTGCTAGCAGGTCAGGGGGAGGGCACTAGTCAGACCAGCGGCCAGATGGGGAGCCCTGGGACAGCCGGAGCCCTGACCTCTCCTGGTCCGGCAACCTCCCTCTTTCTGGATGGCTCAAGTCCTGAGGGTGCAAGACCAGAGAGGTCCAAATTGGAGTAACAGAATTACAGTAGCACATAGAGGCCTCACCCAAGAATGGAACTCCACTGTGGTAAGCATTCTAGCAAGCCTGACGAGCTCGGTCAGTAGAGCATCAGGATCTTAACCTGCAGCAGCAGCAGCTGGGAGCCCTGGGCCCCTTTGAATCACCAGGCCCCAGGACAACTGCCCCTTCTGTCCCAGTCCCATCAATGTGCCTGCACTTACTCATAGATTTATAGAGGCTACAGCCAGAAGTGAGCATTGTGACCATTTAGTTTGACCTGTATAACACAAGCCAGAGAACTTCCCCACAATAATTCCAACAGCAGATATTTTAGAAAAACACCCAATCCTGACTTAAAAATAGTCAGTGATGGAGAATCAACCAGGCCCCTTGGTAAATTGTTTCAATGGTTAATTATTCTCATGCTTAAAAATTTACACGTTAGGTTCCATTCTGAATTTGTCTAGCTCCAGTTTCAAGCCATTGGATCGTATTATACCTTTCTCTGCTCAATTGAATGACTCATTATTAAATATTTGGTCACCATGTAGCTACTTACTAACTATAAAAAAATTAAAAAAAACAACATATAGCCTAGTAGCACCTTAAAGACTAACAAAATGTGTAGATGGTATCATGGGCTTTTGTGGGCACAGCCCACTTCTTCAGATGACAAGAGTATAATAAATCCAGATCCAAGATAATCAGTCACCCCTTAATCGTCTCTTTGTTAAGCTAAATGAATGGAGCTACAGTCTATCAGTATCAGGTAAGATTTGTAATCCTTCAGGCTTCAGTCATCCTTGTGACTCTTCCCTGAATCTTCACAAATTTATCAACATCCTTCTTCAACTGTGAGCAGCAGAACTGGACACCGTATTCCAGCAGCAATCAAGCCAAAAGGGCCTGAGCTGTCAGATGAAGATCTGCAGAGCGTGGCTGAAAGCCCAGTTTCCAAAAGGAAATACAATGTTCAGAGCAGCCTCTTTTCTCTGGAAAGCTACTTCATTATTCAGAATCATTTTGGTTCTCTGAGATGGGCCCTCGAATTTCCAATACACATCTTGATTTTGTACAAATTCAATTTATAAAAATTAGTTTCTTGAAAATCAAAAATATATAAATACAGGATTTAAGGCTCCCACTAAATCCTAGTCCCATTACAATTGTTTAACACAGGTTTTTAACATTGTGTCTTTCATTATTTGTTTTTGTCCATTACCCCTCTGAGACTTTTACAAAATAGTGACATTGACATGATGTGAAAGGACCTACTTTAAGCTGATGGAAGTCAACACTTCCCACACTTCACAGAATACAGTCCCACACTTCACAGAAACCACTGCAGATGCCTGAACTGAAGTGACTGACTCACAGTAGCATTTCCCCACCTTTGATATTTGCATCTCCATATCAAATACTGTGAATGAGACACATCCACCTTGACTTAAGTAGCTTCATTAACACGAGTCCTACAATTCACAGGTAACTTCTTTTGCTGTTATAGATATATATCCCAAATTCTGTAATGTCCACTCCAACTCATCTGATGAAATGGGTTTGTCCCACAAAAGTTCATAACCTACTAAATTTGTTAGTCTTTAAGGTGCCACAAGACTGCTCGTTTTCTTTACAGTTACAGGCTAACACGGATACCCCTCTGAGGGTATGTCTACACTGCATTCGTCTTTCGAGGAATTTTATAAGGAGTAAGGGTAATTTTGAAAGAAGGGTTCTCTTTTGAAATAACTGTGTCTAGACAGCGTTTCTTTTTTCGAAATAGGGTATTTTGAAATAGCACCTGGACATGATTATGCAAATGAAGCACGGGAAATTCAAATCTGCGCTTCATTTGCAATTTCATTAGTCTGTATTTGCATTCCTCTCTCGAAAGAGGAATGCAGTGTAGACATACCCTGAGACTTAACAGCATTTCTGTAGCCAACCCAAAACTGTTTAATCAGCATTTTAGCTGTTCTGTGACAGCCTTACAATTCTAATAGTCAGAATAGTCACATGCATCTGTATCCATTGCCATACCAAGGAACTCCTATTTTCTCTTCAGTTGTTAGAAATTCCCCTTGTAGCACATTACTCCACTGCAAAAGGGAACCTTTTTGGGTAGGGTTGGCCTCTTGTGGAAATACGGTGAATCTAAGTCTTAAGGCTACATTGATTTGATAAATAAGTTGCATACCAAATGTGAACGATAGAGAGGCTAAGCATTTACTTTCTGCTGTGAATTGTTTAAATGTCTCTCAAGGCAACAGCAGATTTTTCCTCCCCTCTGCAACTGTGGTCACCATTTTACTGATGTCATTTGCTTGGCTTAAAATAGATAACATTGCATGCACCATAGTATGAAAGTTTGGGTTCCGATACACTGCAAGAGGAAAGTTCTCAGCAGTGACTGTTCTCAGCAGTGACTCTCTTAGTGACAGACTGGCCATGGTATGCTCTTTTTTACACAGTGAATAATTAGCTTGTATTATTCATTGCCACAAGCTATAATTAATGTCAAGACATCAGCAGGATTAAAAAACAGCACTCAACATTTATATGGATTTTAAAAAATCACCACTATAATACATAGGATTGTGGGGGATTTTTTAACTTTGGAAAGGATTTGAGACAGGGAATAATCCTATCTCTAATTGATGGGTGTTAGGAAAAGCTTTTTCTAAACACAGGTTATTCCATACTTTCCCACATCAGAGTTTCCTGTGTTTTCTTCAGAAGCATATAAGTTTTATGTGTTGTTAGAGAGAGGATACTGAACTACAAGGACAATCACCATACCGATCCAATAAGGCATGATACATGGTATGTCTGAAAACAACATATAATTTAAAAGGACTCACCTGTCCTGAATCTGACGAATATGTCCAGTACATAGATGATATCTGAGCAGTAGTCCAAGACCACCCATAGTATAATATGATTACTTTGTAGCTCATCAAAACAGGCTCTAAACAAACACAAAGATACAGAAGATTTAATTCTCCTTGTATGAGCAAGTGCAGAGAGTACTATATGTGTGTTCTAAAAGCATGTTAGCTAACTGTTGCTGGTATTCGCAGGCTGTGGGCATCATGTCTGCACTGGAGTATTTCCTGTGAATTTAAATATAATGATTTAACATAATCGGACATTTCTGAAACCAAAGGTCTTACATAGCAGGGGAAAATGTCACATACATACACACATACACACGTTACTCTGTATCAGTCCTCTCAGCATAGATCCTCAAGACTTTACATCACAGCATCAAGTCTGCAAGCTGAGGAGAACTGGACAGGAATTCATTCAGATCCCATCCAGGGACTTCCTGGCTCAACTGAAAGAAGGCTTACTCCTTCAGGGCACACTATCTCCCATGTCTCCCAGAGGCTAAATGGTCTGTCTCTATAACAGTCCGACATGACTCTCATACACAGACTCCGATTGTCCATTTAACATACTCCAGTAATATCCACCTGCTACTGGAGAAACAGCCATGTCAAAATTCCTCATACTAATTTTAAATGACTCTTCTCTGTCCACTCCTCTATCATGCTTGCCATCCACCACCTTTCTATCCCTGTATTGGCATTTACACATCTGATGGTTAGGAAAAGGAGACTACTATACGTTTCTCCATAAATGGTAAGAGTGCCTAGTGCAGGGATGGGCAAAATATAGTCTATGAGCTGGATCCAGCCTGTCACAATACTCTGGGCCACCAATGTCCCAGTGGGAACCTCAGGCAGGCTGCCTGACTGCTGTGCTCCTGCACGCCACTTAAAGCAGCTAGCTGCTGGGGCCAGTGTTTGTCTCCGCACCATGCACACTTCAGGGTAGGGAGGTCTCTGTATGCTGCTCCCACACCACCAGCACAATCCTCGCAACTCCCATTGGCTGCAAACTGACCAATGGGAGCTGTCTGGGCCATGCTTACAGGCGCAGGCAGTTTGTGGAGCTTCCTCTCCTCGTGGCATGCACTACACAGAGACACACATCCTGGGCCCAGTAGCCGGACACTTTGAGTGGCGTGCAGAAGTGTGGTGGGCAGGAAGTCTGCCTGAAGATCCCACTGAGCAGCTGAGCAGGAGCTGCCTAGCATAAGTGACTCCTGTATCTGACATCCTCACTTCCGCCCACATTGCAACTCCCTGCTCCGGTCACAAACTAAACCCTCTGCACCCCCTTCTGCACTCCTGCCTCTGGTCACAACCACCTCCCAGACCCAGCACCCCCTTTTGCATCCCTCCTCCAGGTCAGCATCCTCTCCTATACACAAAACCCTGCCAGAAACTGCACCCCCTGCTGTAACTCAATGCCCTCTCTTCCACATCCTACACCTTCTCTTATGCCCCAATGCCCTACCAACCCCCTTTCTGTATACACCCTCCATCCCAGACCCTGCACATCCTCCATTAAAATCAATGAAGAGTGCGGCCCTTGACCACTTACTAAATTCTTAGAGTGCCACCCCCCCATCAAAAATTATTGGTAACCCTGGCCTAGAGCAATACCTTGACTTAGTGTCACTTTGTGCTGTAGCCACTAGATGGCACACAGAAGCCATTGCAGGCACAGATTTGAGGATGCTTGCTGCAAGCCAAAGACTTTTTAGGCAGAAAGATGAAAATCATCAGGTCACAAATCCTAACGCATAATGAAGAGGTATGAACTGTACAAAGAGGTTCTGTGCAAAATCACCCAAGAAATTATTATAGAGAGGTAGAATGAGCCGATGGGGAATGACTCAAATTGTACTGTTCTAAAAGCTACCTTTAATGAGAAAATAAAACTGGAATAAAGTCCAATAAGTCCAAAAGTCCCTCATTTGTAAAAGTAAAATTGTATCTTCTGCTATAACTGCCTCTGATGGCAGCAAGCAAGTGGTAATCAAACTGCTATCCCAGGCAGCACCACACCTACAGGGTTGCAGTGCCCAGCACAACCCACCACAGGCCCCACCCACACCCCCATCTCTTCCTGCCCCTGCTCTGTCCCTACTTCATCTTTTCTCTCAAGCCCTGCCTCTTCTCTGCCCCGCCTTTTCCCACCCTTGCTCCGCCCCCTTCTGTCCCTGTTGCACCCTTTCCTCCAATCCCCCTCCCTCAAGCAACACGTTCCAGGAGATTACGAGGGGAGGGAGGGAGCTAGCACTGGCAGCAGGAGTAGGGACCCCTGCACTCACCATGGTGGTGGGAAGCCAAGTGATCCACCCCTGCCATTTGCATTCTGCCAAGCCCAGTTCCCATCAGTGTGCTCCAGGGAGCAGAGTGGGTTGGGGGCCACAGTGCTCCACTTCCTGTCACTGCGATGAAGCAGAATAACCCAGCTGAGAGCAAAATGCAGGACAATGTAGCACTTTAAAGACTAACAAGATGGTTTATTAGATGGTGAGCTTTCGTGGGCCAGACCCACTTCCTCAGATCAAATAGTGGAAGAAAGTAGTCACAACCATATATACCAAAGGGTACAATTAAAAAAAATGAACACATATGAAAAGGACAAATCACATTTCAGAACAGGAGGGAGATGCCGGGGGGGGGTGGGGGGGGAAGAAGGAAGGTAAGTGTCTGTGAATTGATGATATTAGAGGTAGGGAGAGTGAGATGTTTGTGAGTTAATGGTATTAGAGGTGATAATTGGGGAAACTATCTTGATAATGGGTGAGATAGTTCAAATGTTTGTTGAGTCCTTTTTGGAAAGTGTCGAATTTTAACATGAATGACAGTTCAGAGGATTCCCTTTCAAGTGCAGATGTAAAAGGTCTTTGTAGCAGAATGCAGGTGGTTAAGTCATTGAGAGAGTGTCCTTTCTGGTTAAAATGGCAAGAAACTGTTTTCTCTTTGTGATCTTGTCTGATATCTGTTTTGTGGGCATTAATCCAGCTGAGAGATGCAGGACTGGAGTAGGCTGAGTGGGTCACTTTGCTTCCCGTGGCTTCTGCCAACTAGTAAGTGCAGGAGCGGGCTTGGCCACTGCTGCTGGCATCAGGTCCTCCCAAGCCATCCCCCAGGCTGCCCTGGTCCAATTGGAGTCCCAAAGCAGAGGCCTTGGGTAGCTACCCCAAACTGTCCTATAGACAGGATGGCTCTGATCCCAGGAAGGAAGAGAAGAGAATATTTCAGTGACAGGCACTCTGGGCTCTTATGAAAATGCAGGAAGCATGAAATGCACATTGTCAGCTTTTATTTTACAAAAGCAGAGATTTAAACTTGAAAAGAGAAAGGAGGGGTCATGTCCAGCCCTCTGCCCTGAGACCGGACCAATTAATCCTAGGCCATCCCTGACAGATGCTAAAACCATTAATGGTTCATTATTTTCCAGCCCGCTCTTGTCTCCAACCTGCTCTCTCATGAAGGAATTAAATTCCACATTAAATAATCTAAAATAGTGTCAGAATTGTTAGATTTTTTAAAGCTGCCTCATATAGAAGGAGAACGAGGAATATGAGGTAATATCTTTTATTGGACTAGCTCCTGTGGGTGAGAAAGACAAAAAGAGCTTTGTGGGGCAAGCTCAAAAGCTTGTCTCTCTCATGCACAGAAGTGCAATAGGAGATAATACAGGTTGCATCTCCCTGGTCTGGCACCCTCAGAACCTGAGTGGCCCCGAACAAGGGAGTGTGCCTGATTGGGAGAGGTCAGTCGTTGGGCTCTCCTGAGGCTCCTCTCCTGGTCACGGATCCATCCAGTGCCCTTCCCCAAGCCCACTGCTGGGCTCCGCTGCCTCCAGCTCTTTGGTAGGGCTCCTCTCCAGGCTGCTGGCCCCACCCTGGCTGGGGGGACTCCCTGCCCCCAGCCAAGCTCTTCTCTGAGCAGCTAGCCCCATTGCAGTCAGCCGGGCTTCATACCCCCAGCCAGTGGGCTCCCAGCCATCAGGTCTCTGTTCTGTGTCCCTGGCCAGTGAGGCTTTGCTCTGGGTCAGCCTCACTCCAGCTGCAACAGGGCTCCACGTCCCGGGTCAGCATGATTCCCTGCCTCTGACTGCTGGACCTACTTTGGCCAGCAGGGCTCCACACCCTGGCAGCCAGGGCTTCCTGCCCCCCACAGCCTGCTGACCAGGCTCGCTGCCTGCAGGCCACTGGTCCTATAGGCTGCCAGCTGCTGGCAACCTCTGCAGGTGGGGCTCTGTGATCCAGCAACATCTGTAGTCTTGCTGGACTATAGATGTTGCTGGCCCAAAGAGTCATGGACCACAGAGGTTCAACCTGTACTTCACCCACATTGTGTCTCGAGTACCCTGGGTCCGACACAGCTACAACTGCATTGCATCATGAAGAAACAGCTTTTAACAAGAGTTATATTTTTATAATACAAAATGGAAGAGAAAGTCAGAGAATGTATGATGGTGTGGTGTGTTATAAAAGTTTTACCATCACCAATTTAGCAGTTAAGTTCTGTGGGGAATTCCAAATGAATGCTGAAAATACCTTGATAGTGTTCCATCCAGTCTGTGTGGAGGGACACATATTTTAACAAAAAACTATATAAAGAAAGCATCTTAAATGTCATTGCTAATATTTTTAGCTCCCTCTGCCTGGAACAACAAGCTACATTAGTATCATGAGTCCAAATATACAGGAGGGAGAAAATACTCTTCAGAATCACGTGCATTTCTATACAGAATATCAGGATTTTAAGTCCCAGGGAATTTTGGGCCTTTTACAGCTAAAGGCGCAGAAAGAATTTCCGTCTTTCTGGAATTTCCTCTTAGCAGTATAAAGCTCCTATTTATATCCCATGATCGGGTGTCAAGATTCCCATAACACAGTCCTGTCACTGATGCAGTACTGACTTGTCCTACACCTCAAGGGCTAGGAGTAGAACTTTGATCTGGCTTGTTGTGATACTTGTGGGGGGGGAGGGAGAGGTGGGAAATGGCAGCTGTTTTAATCTGTTCAAGGGGAGACAGATTAATGAGCAGAGGCCAGACAGTCAAAGGTACATGATATATGCAAAGGGCTCTTAATTTTATCCCAGAGATATAATTTCCACATGTGTGATATGCATACGTAGGCATGTATGTATATTACATTTACATATGTTAGAAGCATAGAATCTGGAATAAAGGATTTGGAACATGTACCTGACTTCTAAAACAGTCAAAAAATAAAAACATATCCTTAAGAAAATTGATTAGTGCAGTGTTTCCCAATTTTATTTGACCATGGAACACTTTTAAGCTCGGAAAAATTTCAAGGAACTCCTACAGCCAGGGAAAAACTTTGTCAAGCAAAAAAAACCTGCATAAGTTGTTGCTGCTAGACCCCTTGGTAAAAGCAGAGCGGCAGTGGGGGATGGGAGGAGAGAAATCTTGGGTTGATCAGGAGAAGCAGGACCAGCAGCTATTGCTGCTGCTAGGCCCCTTGGTAAAAGCAGAGTGGCAACGGGGGAGGGGAGATGTCTGAAAGCCCAGTGGGGAACCAGAGAAGGAGCCAGCATCTTTGTGCACCGGGCTCTGTCTCTTTAAGCGGGGGAGCGTTCAGGTGCTCACGGAACCCTTGCTTTCACTTTGCAGAACCCCAGGGTTCCACGGAGCACCATTTGGGAAAGACTGGATTAGTGAATGCGCAATGCAGTAGTAGTTATGGGGATGTGAAAGTTAATGGGCACTCTGTTAAAATAAAAAAACCAAGTGTGCTTTTCCAGTTTCATACAAACAAGACACCCCTTCTGCAATCTCAAATAACCATAAAATATAAATCCATACCTGCACACTAGCAGACACCAATTATAGAATACTGGGGTCGCGATTATGGTCAGCCACCTATAGTATAGGTTGCTTGAAGGATCAACCACAAAGATCTCCTTTTTCTTCCTGAAAAGTAAAACGTGCAGATTATTTTCATAAGGAGGCCATGTTTTTGTTCAGTAAGACTGAATACCCTTCCAGAAGACTGTAATAGTTGCAGCACATTTAGGCCACATGTTCACTACACAGATTGCTCCTGCTGCAGTCGACCTTCTGGCGTTCGATTTAGTGTGTCTAGTGAAGATCCGTTAAATCGAACTCAGAGGATGCCCCTGTCAGTGCCAAATACAGGACTATGTAGTACTTTACTCCTGCATCTTATGAAGAGGAAGGGAAACCAATGGGAGTGTTTGCTTCCTTTGATCTCCCACTGTGTGAACAGTGTGGAAACTCGATTTAAGATACAGCAACTACAGCTACATAATTAACGTAGCTGGAGTTGTGTATCTGGAGTCGACCTTCCACTGTTGTATAGGTCAGACATGTAGATTTAGACATAGCACCAAAGGCCAGCCCTGCTGACATCCCAGCTATTGCTCAGTACAGCAGCTCAAGCTTTTTTCATTTGACTCAGTCTATTCCTGTTTGCCCCCAAATCCATAGCAATCAAAAGGAACTAGAAAAATCTACATAAATGTCAAAACAGCATAGCTGAAAGTGATTTAAAATTATTAACACTCTTCTTGCAAGCCATCCCTTGTGTTTTAAGTAAGCCATCCCTCAGACCAGACTGAGCAAGTTAAGTGCATCTTAATGTCATCCCTGCTTAAATCATGAGGAAAGCCATGGTCCCTTGTCTCAACAGGATCTTCTCCAAGAGCCCTTTGGAGATTTTCTCTAAACATAGGTTAAATATTTATCTTTTTTATTTCCATTATAACAAGATGATCACTCTGCCTCTAACAACTTTGACATATTTATATGAATGAGAATCTAACAGGACAAAAAAATCTGCTAACTCCCTTTGAAATGGGAAATGATCTGTTTTCCTCTATGCCTATTTGTCTCTCTCCGTCTGCTACCAATATTCGTAGCCTACTCCATCACCATTTTGCTCATAATTCATTTCGCCATTGTCAACCATTTAGTTGCACTACAATTAATTTGTTGTTCTGAAATACTCTTTTACTGTTCCTTATCTTTAAAAAATGTTTTTTACTTACTTAAGAACCAAGAGTTTGACCCTACATTACTTGAAATCAATAGCAAAGCTTCCATTGACTGAAATGGTGAAGTTTAGGTCCCAGTATTGTCTCCCTTATTTCTGGTGAGTAGTATCTTACTTTCACTCTGATTTCAATGCAACTACTCCTACTGTAAGGCAATTCTAATTGTAAATAAGGTTGCAATGAAGATGGGGGTATGCTTGTGAGAGTGTAGAAATATTATATATATATACAATTGTGAACATGACATGTTTGTAAGGGGGGTGCTATCTGTACTAATGTGCTATCATTAAAAACCTCAATTCTGCACATTCATAATATAGGCATCTTTCTTTTAAAACCAAAAAGAATCCTATTTATCTTCCCACTCACCATAGATTGTTACCAATTTCTTCAAAAAGCCACAACAAAATTGTGACTCACTCTGTTCCCTGAGTCAAAAGGTCAATGCCTATCGTGCACTCTCCAAAGAATGGTCCTTTCTCATATAAATCTATTCTATTATTTTCTCTGCTGCCTTGTTTCAAAGAACCTCAGACTTGTGTGAAAGGACAGTCCCCACTGGGCACTCTGGGAGGCTCACAGTGCTTCCTCTAGAAAAAAAAAAGATTCTGCTCGAACAAAACTTTGTTTTAGAGAGAAGATTCTATGACCTGGAATGAGGAAGAATCCACCCAGAAGTGGCATTCTGAACTAAGGATACTACAGCATTACGGTACCTACTACACACTCTACACACGTGTGTGATGTATTTATTATAACACACCCCTTGAAATCAGTGTTCATTCTGCACATACAACACATGCTCTTTCCATATTTTCTTCTTTACATGGCATTGCACTAAGGGCAACCCTAATAAACAGAGTTTATAAATCATTAATTAAGGGGCAATTGTCTATTTACATAATAGTAAAGGCCACATGCACTGCCTGATGTAAGAAATTGCAACCACATTGAAGTAAGTGGAGCTGCTTCTGCTCACAGAAGGGCAAATCATAGTAAATATAATTGACCATGTCAAAATGGATTAAATATTCATCTAAATATTGTGGTTTTGTTCTGTGGCCATGTTAACTCTAAAGATATTCTTTACCATGACTAAGCCTGTACAGGCTTGCAAAGGAGACTGCTGTTGACTGATAGGACCTGATAGGAAAAACTTAAAAAACAACAAAAAGTCTAGAAGCACCTTAAAGACTAAGATGTAGATGGTATAACGAGCTTTTGTAAGCACAACCCACTTCTTCAGCAGACTGGAGTATTAGAAGTCCAGATCCAAGAATAAATAAGGGAGAAAGGGCGAGAAGAAGGGAGGAGGGGGAAAAGATTGTTCACGTAGTTACAAGAAGCTAATGAGAACAACTGGCACCTCCATTGTGTGGTTGGTTGGATAAGCTTGATAGGCAAGGCAAGGACTTGAACAGCCAACTCAGGTGATCAGAGATCAGCTGAATTCCCTTTACTGCTGAGTCTGAAGCAGGGGGTGCTGGAACAGGGAAGCCATGGTTCCCTGGGGCCTCATCACTTTATCAGCTGTAAGGGCAACCGATGGGAGGGAAGGGGTGGAGAGGAATGAGTAGGGGATGCGGTGTTGGGTGATGTGGTGGCACAGGGGCACGTGGAGTTGGGGAAGGGACAGCACAATAACAGGGGCTTGGGAAGAAGAGGTGGCACAAGGGTAGAACCTCAGGGGCAGGGGCAGTGAGGGGGTGGGGCCATGGTTCAGATGCCGGTCCCCACACACACACTTTTAAGGAGCTTCCACCACTCCTGGTCTGAAGTTAGACCAACATAGTATTGGGAAGATGCCAAGGACAGGACTGATGAAGTGGGTTTTACCCACAAAATCTCATGATCTAATATATTTGTTAGTTTCTAAGGGTATGTCTAGACTACACCCCTATTTCAAAAGAGGGAAGTAAATTAGACAGATTGAAATTGCAAATGAAGCCGGGATTTGAATTTCCCGTGCTTCATTTGCATAATGGCAGCCGCGCGTTCTTTCAAAAAAGGGCTTTTCAAAAGTGAAACCGCCATCTAGAAGTGGTTCTTTTGAAAAGGGGGCGCTTTTACGAAAGATCCTGTAAACCTCATTTTTTGAGTTTTACAGGGTCTTTCGAAAAAAGGCTTCTATTTTTGAAAGAACCACTTCTAGACTGCGGTTTCAGTTTCGAAATAGCACTTTTTCAAAAGCACGCCAGGACATCAGAAGAACCGCATTTAGACGGTGGTTTCACTTTCAAAAAGCCCTTTTTCCAAAGAACGCGCGACTGTTATTATGCAAATGAAGCGCGGGAAATTCAAATCCCGGCTTCATTTGCAATTTCGATCTGTCTAATTTACATCCCTCTTTCGAAAGAGGAATGTAGTCTACACATGCCCTAAGGTGCCTCAGGACTGCTTGTTGTTTTCAAGGACAGAACTGTGTGCTTCGGAGCATATTGCCGGTTCCCGGAGCAGTTGCACAGTTTCAAAGTTGAAAATTTATTACATCTTTGACATAAGAACACCTCTGCAGCCTGGGGAAACAAAACTGTAGCAGAACCTTCCTTTGAATACTTAACTACTTCATGTAAGACTCAATGGTGCAGGAGGTGTATTACAATCATACATTCAATAGTAATACTTACTCCTCTTTTTTTTTATCATCTTTTTTGTCGTCTTTTTTCTCCTCTTTCTTTTCCTCCTTTTTTTCTTCTTTTTTCTCCTCCTTAACCTCTTTCTTTTCTTTGTTCTTGCTGTATAACATAGTGTAACATTTATCAATGTTCCCAATTTACAGTCTAGGCTAGGCTAGAGGATGGAAGTTGAGGCAGGATAAAGAAGGCTCTGAAGTTGGGTTTTGCACCTACAGAAGAGGAAAGGACAGGGCTTCTCAACTAGACTACTCACTATTTGGGACCTGTATTACATGAACTATGCTGCAGAATTAACAACAGCGTGGTATTAAATCATGTAACCAGTTGGCTGATTTTGTGAGAGATTAACCCAAGCTTTAACAATGTTTCCTTTGTTTACAGCGGAATATTTCCCATTTGCTTGACTCTTCAGGCAGCTAAAAAAATCTGTTTCATGGCATTAGGACTTGAAATGATTTGATAGTCTCAAGATTTGCTTGGTCTTTTGACATACTTCGGCCCCAACAGCACCAACTACCTGTTTAAAGCTGTGGTGGTAGTTAAGTAAAAAGGTTTGATTCTCTTCTCACACTTGTTTTGCTCTCATGTAACTCCCATCAAAATTATCTCTGACTTACAATAGTGCAAGAGAACCATAGCCAAAGGGGGCAATTGCCCTAGGGCCTGGCAATTCAAAGGTGCCCAGGGATCCCGGCCATCACCACTACTACGGCAGTGGGGACAGACAGAGCCCCCGGCCCTTTACATTGCTGCTGGAGCACCAGGCTGGGCACTCTGTGTGGCTGTGAGGTCTGTGGGAGAGGACATGCTGCAGTCCAGGAAGCACTGAGGGCTGGCAGCCCCAGCTCCCCCCCTTCTGCCTGAGGCCTCACCCATTCCAGGGGTGCAGAGCCAGTCCCCCCACCTTGCTTGGGGGCCCATGGTGGCTGTCAGCCCTGCTGCCTAAGAACATGCCAATTGTAATGAAAGCACAGTATTTTGAGGGACAGGAGAACGGTGTGAAAATATATTCACTAATTTTAAGATAAATGCAATTGGCTTAGGAATATCCCTTATCAGCTGATAATAAACATGAGTCCTGATACTCTCTGACCACACTCCCATTGTGATGCAGCATGGCAGTGTTATTTGGAAAACCCCTGCCTTAACTTAGCTGGCATAAGTCAAAATCCTAAAACCATCCCCGTTTGCATTCTCCAAGGTGTTATTTAGAGGTTCACCAAATCAGGCTTGGGCATGCAGTGAAACTTCACTGGGGCCTATGAAAATCCACATGGCCAGGGAACACAAGTGTAGAGTGAAATAGTCTCTGTGTTAATCGATTAACTGAAAGAGCTCCTAAATTCCTACCCACATTAGGGCTACATTTACTCTGCAGAGTTTTTGTGCAAAACCGACCATTTTTGCACAAAAACTTGCGGCGTGTCCACACTACAAGCGCATTCTTGCACAAGAAAAAGTACAGTTAATTATAAGAATCGCAAAAAGACAGTGTGTACGGGTAACAGGGATTTCTTGCACAAGCAACTCCTATGGCTAAAATGGTCATCAGAGCTTTCTTGCACAAGAGAGCATCCACACTGCCATGTACGCTCTTGCACAAAAGCAAATGGCACTGTGGACGCACTCTTGTGCAAGAACTTCTGGCGCAAGAACTCTTGCGCAAAAAGTTGTTGTGCAAGAATCCTGCATTGTAGACGTAGCCTAAGATTTTGCACATCCCCTTATAACAGGATTAGCCTCTTTAGAACAGCAGAGGGTGCTAGTCACACATTTATTTTCTTTACCATTAGACTCCAGATCTTGTGTGACTGCATTTTATATGTAAATGTTGCCATTCCCACAAAGCACTATGTTGATCAGAAACACTCTTGGGTGTCACATTATTCATTTTAATAGCTAACTACTATGCTTTTGTGCATGACATGAACCCCATTCATAACCACTATCCGTATTAACGCACTGGTCCATGATACTCAAAAGCGTTTGGCTCCCAAGGACAGTTGTATAACAAGGGCACAATGTTTCTTTTTAAAAGAACTGTGCTGCTGAGTATTTATCAGCCTGATTATGCAAGGAAGATTCATTTGACATGGCTAAGCAATCAAAATTTGTCAGTGCCATTGAACCATGGAAGAGGTGTTTTGACAAAAATCAGTAGTTTACCCACTGATCAGTAGATGGCTGTTTTTATTTTACTGGGGAATGGAATTTCTCCTGACTCCATTTTCTCCATTTATTCACTGGGGGCTGGATTCATTCATCTCTTTGTTCAGACACTGCTCTATCTCCCTGCTCTACCCACAGTATCTATTGCTACAGCAACGTTAGCACAGTGCAAAAATACCCTAAAGACTTGCCACTGAGGGTGACTCAAAAGGAAGGACAAGCCCCTCCTTTCTCCTATCCTGAGAGCTAGCATAGCCCCTGCATGGCACCTGCAAATTTGAAGGCCTCATCTCTGCTGCTTCACATATGGGCACTCTGTTGCTCCTTCCATCTTCACAAACCTGGAGCTTTAACAACACCTGCAGTTTATTTCCTCTGAGGTTTTATTAAGTCACCACCATTCAAGTAATCACTTGAAAGGATATTCCGATCTATTCCCTTTGACTAAAGGAAATGGAAAGGACTTTTTGTCCCGTTTTTCCTGAGTATACAGTGAAGAGATATCCATTTGGGCTGGGAAAGACTTGCCTGCCTATACTCTTCTAATCATATAATTATAATAGTTAATAAAATGTAGTACTTACGTAATGTTTTTCATCTTTAAATTGCTCTACATATCATCTATCTATTCCTTACGCCACCCAGGTGAGATAAGTATTGTCTCAATTTGGGGAAACTATAGCACTGATAGTTAAGTGATAAGCACAAGGCACAGCATGAGTCACTGTCAGAAATAGGGTTAGAATTTGTGTCTCAGTCCTATGCCCTGAAGCTTTGTCTATGCTATGAGGTTTTTGCGGCACAGCATATGCTATTGACGGACTCGTTAGCATGAGTTGCAATGTCATTAGCATATTTTCTGCAGATGCTTTTTGCACAATGGGTTTTTGCGCAAAAAGAAGCAGTGGAGCCTTGCTTCTGTTTTGCGCAAAAAAAAAAACCTTTTGCGCAAGATGCTGAATAGGCATAAGGATCTTGCACAAAAGGGTGCAGTGACAGAAAATATGCTAATGACATCACGACTCCTGCTAATGAGTCCGTCATTAGCATACTCTCTGCCGCAAAAACTTGTAGTGTAGACATAGGTAAGAGTCGTAAGCCATGCTTCACACTTTTAGTTCTACTATTACTGTTCTACAGTAAAAGCCCAAAATCCTGAGCATTGTAAACATTGTTGTAGTACACAGGGCATTTATTTTTAAATCAAGCACTCATAAGAAAAAAACAGTCAATTAAAGAGAAATAAAAATTTCTCCCAAGTATGGAATTTTGAAATGGAAAGAAGTTTTCAGAGAATGATCATTTTAAATTCACAGTGTATTGCTCAACAATGACTTGTCTGCTTCTAATATGGACAATTCCTTTTGGCCCTGAGTTTTTTGTATTTGGGTTTTTACATAGGAAAGAAATGAAAAACCAAGACTAGCCTCAAGGCAGGAACAAAACTACTGCTGTTTGCTGTGCCATTCCCAGAGCTAGAGGGCAAGGGTCATTATCAGCTATAGTGTGGAGTGATTTCAGGTTACTGGAGCTCTTCACATTTTCTAGAATTCTTTCTTTGAAGGAATTAAATAGCCTGAGAAATCTAAAATTGGCTATTACTTCCTTAGATTTCAAGGTCAGAAGGAAATGTTGTGATCATTTCAGTAAGACCTTGTGTATGACACAGGCCATAGAATTTCATCAAGCACCGACTGAAACAAAACAACTTTTAGTTTAGCTAAACCATATCTTTGAGAAAGACATCCAATCCTGATTTAAACTGTGTATGTCCAGAACTTCTGCATACCCTATATAATATCAGCTTTTAGCCACGGAAAAGGCACAAATGACAATGTGAAGTTATTTGAATATTTGATTTGAAAGCTGTGTGTCAATAAAAAAGAACGCTGTTAAGAAAAATAATAGACAGATCTCTTGCCCATGAGTTTAAATGTCAGCAAGCCCATTAGTAATGTTGCAAAATCAGCCAGCCTGAATTTGAAGAGGTAGGGACTAGTAGTTGTTTAATCAGACACATGGAAAAGAAGGGAAGCTGGAAATAGTTCCCCTGGAAACTCAGGAATATTTCCATAACCTATAAAACTAGACCTTTCTCTACATTAATTCCATATATCAGGAAGAGGCTTAGAAAAAGATAAGCAGGAGTCTATAGCTACAATAGTCACTAACATGTTTTGAACAGGGAAGAGGGTAAGGAGCTGGTACATCAGAGGCAAGAAGGTGCTATGAAGCAAGCAGTGATGTACTTACTCTTCGTTGTTGTTGCTGTTGTTGACATTAAATCTGGCCAGGGACCAGTGACTGAAGCAAGTTAAATAGAACACAGTAAAAGAACAATATTGTACATTTTGTGCACATGTTTACCAACATGATAGACTGAGCTGCTGCTCCTACACATACTTTGAAAAGATTAGAAGGGCCAACTTTGACCGCAGCTGTAAGCCCTTTTGCATAACTATGTAGGGTACCAATTGCCCTTGATCATGTGCAGAACATACACGTTTGTGACCATGTCAGAAGCACTTTAGCCTGCTCTCAGGCGTATTAATGCTTGACATCATGAGTCTCTCTATTTATAGCAGCATTCCCATTTGGCTGCTCTTATAAGTGTTTCTCAAGCCTTTCAAGTCTTCACAGAAGCAGTGCCAAGACTCCTGGAAAGACAGCAGAAATGCTTACTGTTGCTGCAAAATTAACTCTCCATAATGTCACAACAATTCTGAGCTACTATCACATGGTAACAGAAATGCAATTTGAGCTAGGGAAATGGGATATCTCAGTATCTGGCTAGCTAAAGAAATAACATTGCTGGCACATGACCAGTTTTGTTTACTCTAATGACTTTGAATCTGAAACACTAATGGGCTCCCAATACAGAAATCAGAAAATCTCTTGGCTGTTGGCTTGAGTGATTAGACTATAGTAGCGTGACTAATCTAACAAAATATATTAGGCATGCAAAGAAATACACTGCTTCCAAGCTTAAATTATTAAGAAGCTATTTCAGTAAGGACGGGACTGCATTGATCTGTTGCAAACCTGTGTTCACTATAATATAAATTACCAGCTGTAAATTCAAACCAAATTCTTACCCATCTCAGACTATGCCACATGTGAGCCTGAGCTTCAAAGTAATGAGCCTGCCAAAAAGTTAAGTTCCATCCCTGTGTTTTGACAAACCACAATGTTTTCTTTAGCCAACTCTATGGGGCTAATTTAAGCCTGTAAAGCCTGGTCTATACTGCAGAGTTAAGTTGATGCAAAGCAGCTTATGTTGACTTAATTATTTAAATTTCTACACTAAAATTTCATTCCAGGGATGTAACTACCCCACTGCAGCAACTTAATAACTCCACCTGCATAAGAGGCAGAGCCAGTGTTGGTGTGGTTAGCTCAATGCAGTGTCAGTGTAAACCAGTGGTTCTCAACTAGTGATACCAGTTATCTTAGAGGTACACAAAGGTTTTCCAGAGGGTACATCAACTTATCTAGATATTTGCCTAGTTTTACAATAGATTCCATAAAAAAATACTAGCAAAGATGGCATGGACTAACATTTCATATGGTCAATGTCTCTGTGTACTATAAACTGAAATGTAAGTACAATATTTATATTCCAATTGCTTTATTTTATAATTATATGGTAAAAGTGAGAAACTAAAGAATTTTTCAATAGCAGTGTGCTGTGACACTTGTATTTTTGTAAGAAGGTAGTTTTTAAGTGAGGTGAAATGCAAGATAAATCAGACTCCTGAAATGGGTACAGTAGTCTGAAAATGCTGAGAGCCCCAAGTGTAGATGCTGTATTGCTTACCTCGATTGTTACAACTTTCAGAAAACCTCCCTGAATGCCTCACACTATCAGGACAATCTGTGCAAGTACTCCTAGTGAGGATGCAGACTGTCAGCACAAGCAGTAAAATATAACATGCACATAAGCAATATAATTACTGCCGTGGCTGTATGCAGATATAATTTATGTTGACTTAATTTTGTAGCGTGGATATGCATTAAGTCACGTATTACATTCACTTGCAAAATGTAAGCCTGGAAACACATCAAGGGCTCACCTGAAGGCATTAGTTCATTTATTTAAAAAAAAGATTCAGACAAGACTAACCCTGCTTGTGACACAGACGTGTGAACACCTTTTAATGATCCATCTTTAACATTTTCTGATTTCTGGAGCAGAAGCCTATCAGTGATGTGTGAATGAGTATGATTAAGTGTTACTGAATGTTGCACAAATACTTGTAGTGGAGTTTCCAAGTGCTCGATGCTAAGATCCAGATTCTAAATGTCTTTGCTTGGGAAACTGCTTTCATACCCAACATACAGCAGCAGAGTGAAAGCTCTTTTCAGTCCAAGCAGTAGGGATTAAAGTCCAGGTTAAGGGACTGTTCTGGGTTCTGGCATAAGCAATGTAAGCTAAAATCCCACTCCTGAAACTGTCCAATACACTTTAGAAGAAGAAATCATCTTAAAGGAAAAAGTGTTCATTATTATCAGGCTCACACCACTGGTATATTCAAGGCTTGAATAGGATTGCATGGATTGTCTAAGTGTTTACGCTACAACCAGCTTCTCACTGCAGAGTGGGAAAAAGTGAGAAAACCGGGGGCATACCAGTAGTTCAGGGGGACAAAGCATTTATTTTCTCCATTCAGGAACTGGGTTTGCTACTCTTACCTGATGAACAAACAGAGAAATAGCATTGCTAAACTGTGGTCGTACATTCCAGAGAAGAGCAACAAGAATGATTAACGGTCTAGAGAACATGACCTATGAAGGAAGGCTGAAAGAACTGGGTTTGTTTAGTTTAGAAAAGAGAAGACTGAGAGGGGACATGATAGCAGTTTTCAGGTATCTAAAAGCGTGTCATAAGGAGAAGGGAGAAAACTTGTTCATCTTGGCCTCTGAGCATAGAACAAGAAGCAATGGGCTTAAACTGCAGCAAGGGAGGTTTAGGTTGGACATTAGGAAAAAGTTCCTACCTGTCAGGATAGTTAAACACTGGAATAAATTGCCCAGGGAAGTTGTGGAATCCCCATCTCTGGAGATATTTAAGAGTAGGTTAGATAAATGTCTATCAGGGATGGTCTAGATAGTATTTGGTCCTGCCATTGGGACAGGGGACTGGACCTCTCGAGGTCCCTTCCAGTCCTAGTATTCTATGATTCTATGATTTGCTAGCAAGCACAATGATGGCCAACAAAAAAAAGCACGAATGCATTACTTGTACCAGAAGTGTCAACATCACCTGCATTTTGCACCCCTATGTAAGAATTTCTTATGTTATATCAGCTTCTGGGAAACTGCATTATTTATCTAAGTGCTTCTACAAGCTACCTGCAACTGAGGAACTGTGCCTCCATCTGTGAGGCTAAAGACCACAGAGTTGCAATTTCAAACTGCACCATGCCTTCCTCCACTGCTTATCCAGGGAGATCTGCCAAAGCAATGATTACCTTCAGCTAATTATGCACAAGAATCTTGGCATAATAATCCCTAGAGAAATTAAATGTATTAAGCAACTCTAGCTCATTTCAGTCCCATTGGTCACTAAGCTCTAGTCTATTGAAACTCATTTAATTTGATAGGCTGACTTTGGGAAAGAGAGAGTTACTCACCTTGTGCAGTAACGAGGGTTTTTCAACATGTGTGTCCCTGTGGGTGCTCCACTCTAGGTGCTGCTGCATCCTCACGCCGGTGATCGGAGATCTTTTCTAACAGTGCCCTGCCGTGCTGCACATGCGCAGTAGTGTTTCCTCGTGCCGTTAGTGTCTGTTAGTTGCACACGCAGTGTGGTGTCTCTGTTCCTTCTCTCCCTTGAACGTGCACCAAAGAGGCTCAAAAGAAGAGGAGAAGGGAGGGTTGTGGAGCACCCACTGGGACACACATCTCAAAGAACTCCCATTATTGCACAGGGTGAATAACTCTCTTTTCTTCTTTAAGTGATGTCCACATGGGTGTACCCTCAAGGTGTCTGAAGAGCAGTGTCCATCTCATGGAGGTGGGTTTTGGAGCCATGTCCCGGAGACAGTGGAGATGACAGCATGACCCACTAATGTTGCTGGGACTAGGCCGGATGTCAGAGCATAGTGTCTGGTGAAGGTGTGTTCATAGGACTAGGTTGCTGCTCTACAGATATCCTCAAGTGGGACATTGTTGAGGAAGTCTGTGGTCGATGTCACTGCTTGGGTAGAGTGGCCATGATAACAGGTGGCAGTTGCTTGTTATGGATGGCGTAACAAGTAGGAATGCAAGAAGAGATCCATTTTGATATTCACTGCCAGGAGACAGCCCATCCTTTCGAGCATTTGGCAAAGGAGATTAAAAGTCTTGTGGATTTTCTTGGACTTGGTCCTGTTAAGGTAAAAAGTGATCGCTCATCACATGATGTCGGAGGGTATATAACACTGCTTGGACTTCACCGTTGTGTGTCTTTGGACAGAATGCAGGTAAATGGATTGGTTCATTAATATGGAAGGGTGAGGGGGCTTTCAGGAGGAATTTTGGTTTAAGTCTGAGTGTGACCTTGTCATTACTGAAAATTGCATCAAAGCTGCTATCTCACCTACACGTCTGCTGGAAGTGATGGCTACAAGAAAGGCTACTTTCATGGACAGATGAAACATGTGGCAAGTGGTTCAAAGGGCAGTTTTGTGAGACTCTTAAGGACATGGCTGAGATCCCACAAAGGGATAGGTGGTCTTACTATGGGGAACTTGTTTTGTAGGCCTGCTAAGAAATGTTTAGTCATGAGGTGCGAAAAAAGAGAATCCTCATCCATTGGTTTATGAACTGTAGAAACCATTTCATATTTAGCTAGAAGGCATTCTGTATAACAAAAGCCATTTCAGTTTCTTGTGTCTGCACGTATACAGGCAGTCCCTGAGTTACGCGGATCCGACTTATGTCGGATCCGCAGTTACGAACGGGGTTTTTCTCGCCCCGGAGGACGGGAGCGGCGGGACGCCCAGATGCGCCGCGGTCCCACCGCCCGCGTCCTCTGGAGCGAGAAAAGCTGCTCCGCGTCTCCCTGGTCTGCTGGGGGGGGAAGCCCCCCCCAGCAGACCAGGGAGACAGGGAACAAAGCCGCGGAGTACGCGGGCAGCGGGACAGCCCAGACGCATCGCGGCTGTCCCGCAGCCGGCGTCCTCCGAGGCCTTTCTACCCGTCTCCCC